AAAAAAAAAAAAAAAAAAGACTACCGCAACGCGCTCGACAGATAGGCAGGAATGGTCTGGCTAATGCTGCCAAGCCCCTCAAAAAGCTGCCAGGCATGTGGGTCGCACATGTTGGGGTCACACAGTGAGTGGACTGCAAGGATCTAAAGGCCTTCACACCACAGGGAAGAAAACTCACCGGAGAACTCGCCTATTTACAGTTGGTGCGGTCGCATGTGGTGGCCATTACATCAGTGGACCTCAAACTGGGATCCGGGAGCCACAGTTTGGGGGTCCGCAAAATGATTTGATATCAATTGTGTTTTATCATTTAAACAAAGTGCCTAAGGGGGATCGGTGCCAATAAAACATAAACCGGGTACTCCTGCCTACTTCAGTTTCGGGACAGATAAACAGATAAACTGGTATGATTGTGCCGTATTGGCACATAAAACGAAAGAGATACGAGTGACCTAACTTGAGTTACAGATTGTCAAAAAAAAATAAAAAAGGAGCTTCAAGGTGGTGACTGCCACACCTTGTTGAAGTTTATAGTCAAAGTTAACATCAAACAAAGAGAAGTGCACCTTGCATATCACAACAACCACACAAATGTGTCTTTAAGCGTGCTAGCTTGATGCACACAATGTAATGAAAAGCATCAGTCACTCAATGTTGCTACGGCCTGAACGACAAGGATTTTTTTTTGCCAATTTAAAAATCGTTCATTTTGGCCAAAAAAGACAAGCCAGCCAATTAATAGGTTATGTCTGACTTATTACCTCTTGAATAACAAATATTTAAACACAAAATGGGTAGCAACAAGTAGACAAATAAGGTAACAATGCTCATGCATGTTTTGTTTATCATCTGCAAAGAATGACGACCATAGTATAAGCGCAGTTTATTGAGAAGCTGAGATTGCTGCATGAACACTATGTTGGTATATCGGCATTATTCTGCCCCCAAATGGTCATGGCGCATCTAGAAGGAGCAGCACAATGTCCACTGAACTGAAACAAGAAATGTGGCAAAAAGTGTTTTGTTTATTTGCATTCTATTTAATTATGTCATTACTGTGCTCCTTTTTAAGGGAAGCTGGATGCATTGGTCAAATTAAACTCATATCTCAAGGCGCTACTGCATTTGTTTTTTTTAATTTAAGGATATGACTTTCATCCCTTTTAAATCTTTGATTTTACTGTGACATTATGACTATCTTGGAACAATATGTGTTGCTTGTAAGATTAAACGCTTTTTATCCCCAAAAATATGAATTTATATTACATTGTATTTTTCTCAAAAATAATAGCCACCTTTAATTTCTGTGCTCTTTAAGAGTACATGTGGTAGTTACGTTTAACGGATGTTAGAATTATGAGGTGGTCTGTAGGAAAATGTCTCCCTTGTTAAAAAAAAAAATGGAGACAAAAACGGTGGAGAACGACGTTTAAAAACGCTGAATCATCATCATGGACTAATATGGATATCGAGGAAAAAAAAAAAATGGAGACAAAAACGGTGGAGAACTACATTTAAAAATGCTGAATCGTCATCATGGACTAATATGGATATCGAGAATAGATCCTAACAACTCTGTGAGATGAAACGGTCAGAGCGCCGTGGTGGGGAGGCGCTCAAGACTTGTGTAAATTGTGCATTTTGTCCATACATAAATATTGTATATTTATTTTTGCTGAAATAAAAAGAGTATATTTTCTTGCTTTTTAAAATTTTTTTAGATTGATTTATGTGTGGTAGTGGTTAAGTTTTGTATGAGCCTCAGTGTAAACAAACGACAAAAAATGCCTATCATAGCTTGGTCTCGTCCTGACTCTGTCCTGGCTCGGCCTATTTTCATTCAGGTCATTTCCTGGGGAACCACAGCGTGCTGGACATCCTCCGACAAGACGGCTACGTGATCGATCACGTGACGCCTGATGACCAGCAGCATGTGACACTGTGAGTATGCAGTCGAATGGGGGGGGGGGGGGGGGGGGGGGGGGGGGGTAATGACCCATTTGGTTCTGCAAAAACACTTAGCGATGGTACAGTAATTGAAACTTGTGGAAAACAAAAAAACTGAATGTGCCTGGTGTCTTTCAACGTTAACAGTAAAATGTATTGAAGTGCAGTGCAAACAATGTCCAAATGGAGATTTCAAAACTAAACAACG